CCTTCTTCCTGGCCCAGGCCTTTTTAAAACCTCCCTGACCTCAGCAGCCGGTCCAATCGAAGCTGCCAATACTGGCTACAAACCGTCCAATCTGCAAAGCATCCCTGGCTACCTGGGCCCGCGCGCAGGGCCGGGTCTTTCCCCCCCGCTGCCCAGGTGACCAGAGCATCGCCTCCCAGGCGCCAGGCTTTTGTCTGCAGACAAGGAGCGAGATCCCAGCTGTGAGAGATTCAACAGCAGCCTCTCAGGCTGGCTGAGACAGATCTCTGGAGAGGGGCACCGACGGGGGCATTTCTGCCACACTGAGCATCTTTGTTTGTCTGTCAAGAATGACTGGGAGCATTAATGATGTCCAAGGGGTGAAAGAAAATCCTGACCCTGCTCTGTGCAGCAGGAAAACACTAGACTAATGGAAGTGATTGGACCTGTTGGCACTAATTGAAATGAAGGCTCCCCAGGTCACTTCATCAGTGCAGGGTGTCAATCCCTTGATTGGGGTAGTTAGGTTAGAAGTCTGGATGCCTGCTTTCACAGGCTAATTGAAGGGATCTCTGTAAGGCTGGATTGTTTTAGCAGCTGCTCCCTGGGATATTTTACACACCTGTGATCCCATCCAGTGGTAGGGGACAAAGCTGAGCTCTGTTAGGAGAGAGCCGTGTTGTGACTGGGAATGGACCAGTTTACATTGTAGCTGCTTTATCATTGGAGAGGGAGCTGCTCTGATTAAATTGTAAAGTCATGTGCGTGCGACTGAAGTGTAACATCACAGTGATGCGGCTAAATTGTCCCAGTTCCGACGCTGGATGATGCAGGATTGTGGCCGGCTCACCTTTCCTACACTTGTATCGCTGAAGAATTAGAAGGGTGGAGCTGTTACTGCTAAAAGAGCTGAACTTTACTTTTTGGTTAGAGAGAGAGATGGATCTGTTAGGAATCGCCACATCCTGACAGCACTTGCTGCACATGAGATGGGCCAGGATGTGGCTTTGCCATTCAGTGCTCCTGACTCTCTCTTCCTCCTGCTTTCCTGGGGTGACCCTGAGAGCAGATGGGGCTTCTCCCAGCCTGCACAGCCCTCCACAGCCCAATGGTAAGTGGCTTACCCTGCCTCTGCCTGCTCCGCACCTGCAGCATCTGGTCACTAGAGCGATTTGGGGACAGCATTTTAAAAGAGCCTTCCCTGGTCCGTGGCCCTGCCAGTGGCTGTCAGTACCTCCTGACACACTGCCCCCTGCTCCCCCTCTCTTCAGGGGTTCGTTGGAGGGATGAGAAGCTGCAGGGAGCACTTGCAGACACTTCGGGCTCCTATAGACATGCAGGGAGCTGGCTCTGATGCACTGGAAATCCAGAGGGTCGAAGCAGACTTAATTAATCGAGTCTGCTGGAGCACGGACATAAACCCTCCAGCAGACTCTCACATCACATGTATCAGCATCCCTGCACCAAGAAGTAGCTGTGGGGCACTTTGAGCCAAAGCTCATTCAATAAGCTTTAGTTCAAAGTGCCCCGTTGTCATTTTTCAGTGCAGGCGATGCTGATACATGGGACACTCGGGTGCTTTTAATTGGCGCGGCTTACTAATTAAAGGGCCCCTGCTGTGTTTTCCGGAGCATGTGTAAAAATACCCCTAGAGCCCAGATGTTCCTTTCCAGTTCCCCATGGCATTTTCCACCCCTTCCCTCCTCACATGCATCAAGGGACCTTAAGGCCATGAGGGCCCTGGCCCTCCTCTCATACCCCACAGTCGTGGTGGTGTCAGGGTAATTCGGGCTCTGGCAGAGCTTTTCGTTCAGGGTTTGTGCTTCTCTTGAAGCTGTTGAGCATGCTGGCTGATGCCTTTGAGATTCCTGGCCAGGAAAAAGGAGAATGAGTCCTGTGTCAGGAGACCCGAGGGCATTTCAGCCAGTCATAGACAGGACTGGGCCCTGCTGTGTCCTGCAGCTGGGGTAGATTGAGTCCTTGCTCAGAAGTGCCAATGATCTGGGATGAAGATGGGGATGTCCATGCAGGGTGCTGAACTGAGTTGTCTGTTGGGGTTTTATCCCAAACCCCTGCGGGAATGATGTTGGCCTCTTTCCAACCCTCTGAATGCAAGAAGGCTACTCTGAAGTCATCCCAGCCCAGCGCTCACCCAGACCCATCTTGAACACCTCCACTGAAGGAGGTCCTGCAGCTCCCTGGGCAGCCTGCTCCTCCACCTCGTTGTCCTGGCAGGAAGGAAGTTCTTCCTGAGCTCTGATCCACACCTACTCGGCTGCAATGTGAAGACACGGGGCCATGCCCTCCCCTCTGCAGCAAGGGAGAAGTCTGTGTGAGGTGGCATAAATGGAAATGTAACCCAACTTCCTTCCATTTGGGTATTTGCCCTGTTCACACATGGCAGCCTTATCCATTGTACCTTTAGTGTAGAGACAGACTGAGGGGGAAAGCAAGGTTTGCTCCCTAGGGAAGGAGCAAAAATTCAGGTGTGCAGGATGGGTAAGGACATTGCTCACTCACTAATTCATGGGCACTCCAGCGCTTTATGAAGAGCAGTTGCTGGCACCACCGTCCTCTTGTCCCCGGGGAAAGCAAAGCCCGGAGAAGCTCAGTAAATGCACCAGGCTTGCACCGTGGGGCGGGAGCAGAGCCAAGGACAGAAAGCCCCTCTGGTTCCCCAGGCCAAAGCCTTAGTTATGGATCCAGTGTCTCTTCATCCACTCTGACTCCTCAGCAAGTCCTGAGGAAATGTCTTTTATTCAGGGTCACCTGGAAAATCAAAGCCGGCAAAGTGCCTGTTTGTGTAACGGGAGCCTGATGCAGCTCCCAGGAAAGTCAATGGAGAGATTGCACCGACACATGCGCTGCTCCGGGGCCTAGCCCCAGGCCATTGATCCCTCCCTGCACACAGGAGACGGGAAATATCCATGTGTTCCCTATTGAGATGCAGCAGCATTTGTTATTGATGTATTAGATTGAAATGCTGGCAAAGGAGGGCAGGGGCATGAATGGCTGGAAACCACCAAGCTGAGGCTGTTCCTGGTAGAGAGCATTTTGCACTGGAAAATTTCACCAGGAAAAGGAGGTGGGAAGATGTTCGATCCATTCATGCATCATCCTTTAAAGGAGAAATCCAGACTCACTGAGGGCTGAATGGCCCAGCGGACTCTCCCCTTCCTTTTTATTTTTGGGGTTGAGGATCTTTCCTCTCGCTGGGTTCCTGCTGGCATCACTTCCTTTCCTCTATAAAGTCAACCCAGCAAGATCAGCTTTGTTGTGCTGTGACTCCCATGAGAACAGTCAACACAAGGACAACATGGCGCGATCCATCCCTTTGCTGTTTCTCCTTGGTCAGTGTGAGTACGGAGCTGCCCCCAGCGCTTCCTCTCGGGGAAGAGTCAGGAGGAGCGGGAGGGCAGGGCCCCCACCAGGGTCCTGCAGAGAGGACGCCAAGCAGGTGGGCAAGTGTCTGAGCCAAGGGGGAAAGCAAAGCAAGGCAGAGAGACTCGTTTTCTATCTAGCTTTGTACAGAGGCTGTGAAAGCGAGCAGGGAAAAGGGCCAAGTCTGATCTGGGGCAGGCAGGGCCAGCAGTGCAGACCCTCCCCACCTGACTGTCGGGGCCAGGAGGAGAACCTGGCCAGGTGTTTGGAGGGTTGTAAATATGGGCAATATGAACGCACCGTAACAAGTGGGTAAGGGCTGCTTCCATGCAGACAGCCAATGCGGATGGGATGATCTCCTGACCCGGGGCAGCTGGTTTTCAGTAGTGGAGGGATGGCTGAGCACACCATGGGCTCAGGACAGCAGTGTATTCCCTGAGCCTGCCTGGGACAGCACTGGTCTCTGAGCGTGCTGCACCGCTGCCCTGCGATTCTGCACAGCCCTGGGCCGTGGGGCTGGAGGCTTTGCCCAGGGGACGGGACTCCAGGTGGGATGGGGTGAGGGCACTGTCTCTTTCCTGCCATGAGCTGTGCTGGTCAATGCGCTGGGTGGGCTTCTCCCCACCTCAGGCTGCTGCGAGTGCCAGGGCTGGATGCAGGTTGACCCCGCAGCAGCAGACCCACAAAGCCAGGAGACTCTGTGGCACTGGCGTGTGCGATCACAAACAGGGGCTTGTCTGACAGTGGTGTGTCCTGAGCGTGCAAGGGCAAGGACTCTGCCCTCCACTTCATCATGTTCATCTCCTCCTTCTCCTGGGTGACACATGCAAGCAATGTGGATGAACAGTGCTATGTGGGAAGGAAAGAGTCCAGCAGCCAGAGACTGCCCGTGCCCTGCCAGCTGCATCCTTATCTTGCCAGTCACCCACAGGCCCACCCCCTCCACCTGTCTGCCCAGGGGTGAAGGGCTATGGCAGGGGACACTGAGCAGATCCTTCTGCCCAGAGCTTGCCCTAAATGTCCCAGCCCAGCCCTGTAGGCTTCTGATACCCATCTCTCCTTCACTGAACTGTAGCTTCACTTCACTTCCCCTCTCTGTCTGCATTGCCCTGGGCCAGAAGTCTGCTTGGAAGGAGGGAGGGAGATTCAAGTTATACTGTACTACAACATGAGGGGTCATTGCAGGTGTTTGTTATCAAGAAATGAGCATTTAGGGTCCAATGGAAACAGCGAAGGGCAGTGCTGAGTATAAGAGCTGTTAGATCATGGCCAGGGACTTTTACTGAGTGGAAGGAGTGGTGGCTGCAAGGCTGTAAATGTGAGCACCACCTGGCCCTGCTGTAAATTGTCAGCAGTCACTGGCCTGTGACTGTATAGGAAGCCGGTGCTGAGAGCAACAGAGCTGAACAGAGCAGGGAGGTTTTTGTACGGGGCTGTAGCACTGTGCGAGGCCACTAGGTATTCTGCATGCAGTAATAATCTCCGGCATCATTGGCTTCTATGTGGCTGATGGTGAAAGTGAAGTCAGTGCCAGAGCCACTGCCACTGAACCGGTCGGGGATCCCGGAGGGGCGGCTGTTTGTGTTGTAGACAAAGATCTTAGGAGCTTGCCCTGGTTTCTGCTGGAAGAGGTCCATGTGGGTGCTAACATTGGAGCTGGTTTTGCACTCAATGGTGACTGTGTCTCCTGCAGACACCACCAGGAACTCTGGAGTCTGGGTTACAAGAATGTCCCCGCTGGAGCCTGCATGGGGGAAAATGCTCAGCATGAAAAGAAAATCAAACACACAAATAAATCAGTGACCTGAAACTGAAAACTCTTTTTTTGAATCAACAATTTTCTTTGAGAAATTTTAGTTGTATTTATGCTACTGGCAATACTGAGTAGAATATTCTGTATTGGGTGAAGAAGTTCATTCATCCGTGAACACAAGAATTGCTATCTAGCTTTTAGAAACTATGGTTAAGTTTGAGCTGCTCCCTCCCGTGCTGCTACCCTTACCCTTTGCCCAGTGCACGAGGAGCCAGAGGAGCTGAGTCTGCCACAGCATCTTGCTGCTTCTGCACTGACTGACACGGAGCTGAGAGACACCAAGCGTTAAACCAGCCCCTTTATAGCTGCTCCCCAGAGCAGGGCGCAGTCACTGGGGCAGTCATATGCAAAGCACCAGCTCTATTTCCATGAGCCCTCCCTGGGGCACTGCAAGGAAGGAGGTGGGGACAGCCCTGCTCTGGGAGGGTCCAAGCCTCTGTGTGCAATGAGAGCAGACAACAGGGTCCCGTCTTCGCTGCAGCCCACACACAACACCGCAAAGGAAGGCAAGATCCTTCCCACTGACACCTGCAGCACCCAGAGGGAAAATCCCTTTTGGACTCCATTTGGCAACCAGCAAAGACCAGAGGCCAAAAGTCTCAGTGAGAATCGGGTGCAGTTTGCCTTTGAAATCTCCCTCCCACCCACTGTCTCATCCTCCTCTCCTGCCCAACCTGCAGGTTCTCGCCTGCTCTTGGGTAACACAGTGTCTGCCCAACATCTCCACCCTGGGCAGCTTACAGCTCCCTCAGCATCACTGGCATTCACCTCCCACCTTCCTCCCTGCCTCTCCCTCAGGTTGGTCCCCATCATGATATATATAAGCATGTTGTAGCTCCTCCAGTGCAGTGTAGCTCCACAGGAGCAGTGTTGGGAGTCCCCCACTGCTCCTGTGTAGGTCTGACATGAATGTCCACCCCACGACCATCTCCTCTATGATCTCTGCAAAGCTTGAATGGCTTCAGCCACCCACTACCTGGACTCCTAGACCAGAAGGGCATGTAGAGCAAAACCCCTCTCTGGGCAGGATCAACCCTGTCTTAACAGTCCATGGCGCACGTTGGCCTCGCCTCTTGAAATCCCATCCTTTGCTGGCTCTCTTGGCTCCATGTCCTCATGTGCCTCCTTCTCCCTCTCAGACATTTGTTTGCTTGCAAGTTTACTCTCTTTGCTTTCACTATCTCTATTTTTGCTCAGGTTGGTGCTACCTGCCCTCATGGTCCTCAACCCCTAGATTCATCACCTTGCTAGCCCTGAGTTTCCTCTCTCCTGTGCTAGCTTCCACACCTTTCACTTTCCCCCTGGCCTCCTGCCATCCTCTTATCTCCTGTCTCACCTCTGCCTTCCCCCCACTTGCACTCCTGGTCTCCAGTGACTGCACAATGGCATGGGATGTGGGGGGAGAAATGGTCTGTGGTGATGCCGACAAGGCAGAAGCATCTGGAAATTGGTCGACTTTCTCCTCCAGGAAGTGACTCTGCTCACGGCCTAGTTGGATCCTGAGATATTTCCTCTTCCAACACCAACCAGGGAAGCTGCAAAGCAGCAACTGCTGGAGTTCTGCATCTGCACATCTGCAGAGCAATGTGGATTGGAAACAGAAGATCCTTGTTTTACACCTGTTCTCTGATATTTCTTATCGCTCTTCCCCATCTCCCAGGTTCTGATGCATCCTCCCCCCCCACACCTTATATACTTGTAGGCTGCCACCAAGTTCCCCAGAGCCTTGTCTTCTCCAGGCTGAAGAGTCCCATGTCCCTTAGCCTCTCCTTGTAAGGCTTGCCCTCTTGGCCTTTGATCATACTGGGGGCTCTCCTTTGGACTTTCTCAAGCTTATTCATGTGGCGGGCCAGTAGGGGGCGCTCCTGCGTTGAGCCACCCACCTCCCTGCGCCCGACCACCTTCCAGGCTCCGAGTGCCTCCCTGGGGTGCCTCCCGTCCGGCCGACCCCTTCCCTGGAGCACACCCGCTAGCCTGGGGTTCCCGCTGCCACCATCCAAGGCTCTGGACTCAATTCTGGCTCTGCGCACCTTGGAGAACACAGGCCTGATCGTCCAGTGGGTACTAGACCCAATGCAAGCACTTGGGGCACTTCCAAAGTCAGGGGCTTATTAGGAAAGTCTCCCTTAGTCCGCAGACCTAAGGGCCCTCCTAGGCATAATTTAGACCCACCCCTCAATAAGTCTCCCACACCGGTCACAAAGGAGAACTTTATTGATTACAGGGGTAGGGCGGAAACAGGGTAAAAGGTAGAGCAATATCATAGAAATCTTACAGGAATATCAAAGGAATCCCATAGAGCAAACCAGGGGGGCTGAGGTAGCCGTTTAAACA